GTGTTGAAGCTTCAACGCTTCTGCCCATTCACTTTGAATGGGGTGATGTCACGCATCGCCAAACTGCGTTGTGGGAGCAAAGCGTAGCTGTTCTCGCGGTGCTCGCTGCAAAAGTTGAGCAATGTTCAACTTTTGAAGCTTCAACGGAAGCGTCAGTCAATCGAATCATATGCCAGTACAAGCTCTAGCCAATCAAACAGCTGCTTGTGTGGACGGGCCGTAAGGATGGGACGCTGTTGACCTCAACTGATAGGGCGTTGGAAGGAACATTTTGACAAACTCCTGAACCCGACAACTCCGCCCTCTATGGTAGAGGCAGAGCTGGAGTACGCCCAGAAATGCTGAAGGCTCTGCGTGTTGAGGGACTGTCATGGTTGACACGTCTCATCAACTTTGCGTGAAAGTCGGAAACAGTACCAAAGGAGTGGCAGACGGGGGTGGTGTATTTATACAGAGTACACACACTGAAACAGAGAAGTCTAAAAACAGAATGTTACTCACACAATTCTAGAAGTCACCAGTTGTTATCCTGTCAAAATCGAGTTGCACATGAAGGTCATGCAGGATGGGTCATGACCGAAAGAACGAGATCGCGGATACAAGCGGCAGGGATGGGTTTTCTCCGCAGGGTGGCTGGCGTCTCCCTTAGGGATAAGGTGAGAAGTTCAGTCATCCGGGAGGGAGTTGAACCACTCCTCCTTTGCGTTGAAAGGAGCCAGTTGAGGTGGTTTGGGTACCTAGTAAGGATGCCACCTGGGCACCTCCCTAGGGAGGTTTTCCAGGCACGTCCAGCTTGGAGGAGACCGAGGGGTAGACCTAAGACCAGGTGTAGGGATTATATCTCTTCGTTGGCCTGGGAGCGCCTTGGGATCCCCCAGTTAGAGCTGGTTGATGTGGCCAGGGAAAAGAAAGTTTGGGGCTCTCTGCTGGAACTGCTACCCCCGCGACCCGACCACGGATAAGCGGGAGAAGATGGATGGATGGTGTTTTCCATAATTTATGCATAAGTTATTTTAATAACGAAATCCAGCAACCGGAGACATCTTTAATTTGCCTTCACGCAGCTCAAAAACCTACAGATTGGCAATACTGTCCAATTGATATGCTCATTACTCTGAATGAATGCCACCTAATTAGCTTAATATTTTAGCAAAGCTATCTTAACCCTCTGTTAAAACGTCCCATTTTCTGTAGGACATAAAATCCAAAGCTTGCTGCTTACAATGCAAAGAGAAAGAACCCTGTATTCAGAAATAAAACGTAATGTCTGCAGTACACACCAACAGCTATTGAACCTAATCAGGTTTTCTTATTAGATTAGATTCATTTAAATGATGACCAGTGAACTTCAAAAGATGGTTGACTGTCTGAATAGACTTACTGTAATGATAATTATTTTGGCGATCATTGCCATTCATTTCCAGATCTACTTAGATTCTTCTTTTTGGTGGTGTTGGCGTGCCTTATTATTAGTTAATATGGCCAAATACACTGACATGGATTAACAACTTCCCTGTCCCTCACAATTTAATATTGAAAGGGGCTTGGGTTATTCAGGTTGTTTGTTTAAGATAAACATATGTGTAGCCTGCTCATCAAACATTTATGTTGTTTTAAAGGTTTAGGAAAGTGAATGTTGAATTTAGAAAAAATAGTTTTTAATTATAAAGTCAAAGTGGCTGTAAATGGCTATTTTAAACGTAATAAAATTGCACTTCTTGAAAAATAATGGCTTTCTAGCTTGGTCAATAATATGAATATTTTTAAAGGCTGTAGTCATTGTGCTGTTTTCATTACCTAAATGTGTCTTCTAAAACCATTTCATTCCTGTTCTTTGGGACAGACAAAACAGCATGAGGCTTGTACAATTCAGTAGCCCTTCAGTAAACCTCAATTATGTCATGGCCCTAAAGCTCATAATATTCAGTTACTGTTGTGAAAGATGTTTTTAAGGTCTTGTTATTTAACTTGTTGGAAAGAAATTGCTTTACAAATTATTATTATTATTATTTTCATTGTGCGCGTAAGTTAAATGCGTATATCAAAAAAAGGATGGGACAACCAGTACAACAATTGAGTTGCATGTCAAATCTATGACATTGCAATTAAGTGTGACTGAAATGGGTGTAATTTAAAAGATGCCCGTGTGAATTATTAGGGAAATAGCATGTCATTGTCACCAACAACTGTTGTAGCAGTAAAGCATGTCTCACCCCATTCAACAAATGGTTACAGCCCATAAACATCTTCAATCATGATAATGTCCACATACAATGGTAGGAAAAGCAGGTACATGTTAAGTTTGGCTGAGTTTTTTTTGTCTCTTATTTTGAAAAAAGGTTGAGACTGGATGCTTTTCCTTCATGCACTTGGCTCATAGTTTACAGGAAGCGAACAGCAATGCCTGGATTGCACAAATACCAAAGGCATGCTTTACCATATTTAACCATGTTATTCTGTCTTTACGTTAGACATTCCCATTTTCTTTGATATTCTTATTAACACATGTGTTTGTGTCTTTTATTTATAGTTGAACAAAACCTAGCAAGGTTAAAACATGCAGAAGCAAAACACCTTTTTTTAAGGCAATCTGTCAGGCGCAGTTCATCGCATTTGCTGCCAAGGGACACAGTAAACACGGCCAGGGCATGGCACATGTTTTTGATAACATTGGATGCACCTAAGTACACATTTAGCCCCATCCTGCAACCAAGACTGAGCTGTTGGGTGGTTAGGTGACTGTAAAGGCAGCCGGCCAGTCATCCATGTAATCAGGAAAAATGCACTGACCGCTGGGCACACACAGGTGACTTTAAGTTGCACATCACAGCAGAGTCTTTAGGCACGAAATGAGGCCGATGGTAAATGCACTTAATATGCCAGTCATTGCGACTTTGATACCAGCAGCCCCTTGGCTATGACTAGCCAGTCGTAACCTTACAACAACCCTGCTTAGCCCATAATATAATGTTGAGTAATACATTTAGCCAACGCCACAGACTGTCCGTGCCTCTGTTTTTGTTTTGTCCTCGTGTGTAATCCATTGACAGTTTTTTTCAAACATTTTCAGGCACAGTAGGGTGCATAAAGTTAATGGCAACACAAAGACCAACTGATCGGACTAGCATCTGAACGACAACTGTCAAGCTAAACGGTGACGCTGGCCTTTAATAAATAAAGAGCAAATGAAGAACTGAGTTTGTGTTTTAATATTACAATTGAATACGTATTGTGTGTTGCATTACTGCTGACGTACTAACATTAGCTTTATTGCTGCTGTAGTTGGAAACCAACCTAGGCAAGATGCACATTCCTGCCTATGTTAGCTAACTCGCATGCTAGCAGCGCAGTGCTAGCTACCCGATCCAGGAGGCAACTGTGTATTTCGTGTATCCGAAATCCACTAACCTGTAAACAGCAATATCCTTGGGCTAGAAAGTCGATGATAACCCCCCAATATCTCAGTTACGTTTGGCACTCCTTGCATATCCATGTGTCACAAACGATGATTTACTCCCAAAGTGGTCACTGCTTCCTCTCCTTCCTCCTGGTAGCCATTTCCAAACATCCAAATAAAGCAAGCTAGTCCCAGGGTAGATTTTTCTTCCTAACAGCATCCTCCTCTCAGCCCCAGCTGAGGCCGCATCTGAAAGGCAAACCTGACATCTGTTGGAAGAAAGCAAGAACACACCTTATTTAAAAAAACATTAAATCAAATCAAATCAAATCAAAGTTTATTTATAAAGCACATTTAAAAGCGATTGTTGGTCGGGCCAAAGTGCTGTACATGTAATAAATACTACAATCACATAAAAACACATTACTACAATCACAATAAAAGACAATCAATTACAACAGATATATAAAAAACACAGGGAATAGTCAGGATTCGTGCTCCGCTCTGACTAAAAGGCCAGGGAGAAGAAGTGTGTTTTAAGAGTAGACTTAAAAACCCCTAGGGTCTCTAGGCCGACCTCACATGGAGGCGCAGTGTTCCAGAGCCTAGAGACAGCTGCTGCGAAGGCTCGGTGCCCTCGGGTTTTGAGCCTTGTCTTGGGCACTATCAGCAGCAGCTCGTCAGCAGACCTTAAAGCTCTGGCTGGGGTTTAGCGCTGGAGGAGTTCAGCTATATAGGCCGGAGCCGGCCCATTTAGTGCTTTAAAAACAAATAAAAGGAGTTTAAGGTCAATTCTGAACCGAATTGGAAGCCAGTGCAGTGAGGCCATAATTGGGGTGATGTGGTCACGCTTTTTGTGGCCAGTGAGTAGACGTGCAGCTGCGTTCTGCACTAGCTGCAGGCGTCTAATTGACGCCTGGTCCATACCCACGTATAGGGCGAAATGTCACCGCAGGCTG